CATCCGACCAAGCTCACACACAAGCATCCAGAGGTGCAGTCACACACTTGTGACCCAGTGTAGACCGGAGAGCAAGCAACTCTTAGTTCCCAGGCTCAAGCCCATGCCCATGCCCATGACCATGCACATGCTCATGCACATGACCATGCCCATACGACTTGCATCTTCCTCCCCATCCAACCTAGTCTCGCTCTCGCAAATGCAGACACCTATATACGTATGCATACACACACACACACACACCGAATTTTCAAGATTTCGAAATGTATCAGGGCAGGCCGTGGAAACAGAGAGCCGATTTAGTGTCACCACTCCGGTATGGAACGTGGGGCCCAGAGCAGTGCCCAAATAATTTTATTTTTACTGCACTAAACTCTAGGGCTCCAAGATTCCATGCTCGGAGCGGTGTGGAAGATGCTAGCCTCGACTCCGACTTGTGTGTGTGTGCGTGTGTGTGCATGAAACGAGTCGACTTCGCCAGTCTATGCCCCAAAAGGCCACTAATGGCCTCAACACCATCCCATAATTATCTCGTAAATGATAATATCTGGTGTGGGATGGGCTTGGAGTTCGCCTATTTTCACTTCACGCCAGCCCCCTCTCGACGAGTAGAGGGAGGTTGGTGACCTGCTTGTCCAGCCTGGTCCGAGTCCTGCTGCCAAGCGCCGTTCGTTTGTACCTTCCAGCCTTTACCTGCCCTCAGAAACATTGTAAAGTGATCGCTGATCAAGCAAATGTGATACAGCCGCTTCATACAAGATAATTATTCTTCCCCAGTCCTCGAAGGTTTTTTGTGTTGCCTCAAAATGAGGTTTTCTGGAGGGCTCGAGTCATTTCCAGAGCGAATCCTCGTGAGCCGGACTCGGACGACTGGTCCTACTCCTCGTCTATCCGGCCGCATCTGCGACTGCCTCCCGAGAGTCGCCATTCAACTTGGATGCCACTTTCCGACAAACGCAAACAAACACACAAACACGCGCATCTTCATCACTCCCCACTCGCTCAGATGAAGTGAGGTAAACAGAGAGGCGCATGAAGAGCTGGAAGCTGGGTAGGAGCTTAAGATAGAAAGAAAAGAGAGAGAGAGAGAAAGAGAGAGAGAGTAATGGGGTGTAGAGGATCCCATTTTTTGCGGGTCATTCTTAAACCCGCAATCTCTACCTCAGACTTGAATGTGGTCAGCCTGCTTCAATCTTGACCTTTTTAACTTCGCCAACTAAGGACCCTTAAAAAGTTTGATCTAATCCCCTACAGTCTCGAGAAAAATGAGACTTCTTTAGCTCTCCTCGTGTGTGGATGCGACCCACTTTTGTCAACATGCATCCGTTTCCTTGACGTTATCTCTCAACAACTCCCGTGCGTGGTAATGACTAGCAGAGGGGAGGACAGGCAACTTTCTACTAATCAAAGCTCCATTTTGGCTCTGATATCCGAGCCCCAAACTTCTCATTCCGATCGGCATGTAGGCGATGGAGTCGGCCGGTGACAACACAAGTCATTGTCCCGCATGTTCGTTCGTCTCATCTCCACCGAGCAGCAGTTTGGGAATCACTTTACTCAGGTTGCACTGTGTGTTTTTATGTTTATATCTTTGTGTGATTTATTTTCCGCATTAAGCATGCCGAGAGTCAGGACTCAATTTTCAGCCTGTTAATTCCAGCCTTGAATAGTCTAGTTTTGCTCCCCTCAGTACTTGAATGCTTTGGAAAATGGCACACCTCTACTACAATTTGGGTTTTTATATCAACTACTAAAGGCATAGTTAGTAGTGTTTCGAGTTTGTCTGCAATCACTCCTAAGAGTGTAAACTGCTTGTTTCCTAACCTCCAACACGGCAGCCCAACATAGATGCGAACTGCCTTTTGGGAGGCATGGAAATGTAGAAGTATATTGGTAGTATTGAAACTTTATGAATCATAATATAAAAGTAAATAAAAGTTGTGGTCAATCTAGGTCGCATAACGCGATGAACGACTGATAGTTGAATTTTTCCCACCATCAGATGAGACGCCCCATGTTTCCATCTGGGCTCACTTAGTCTTGCCCAAAAATGTTTATTGTCCTTAATGAAATTCACTAGTAACGTTAGATCTCTCATAGTGTTGTGAAAAAGATACAATCATCATTTATTCATCATCTTATGCAACCTAGGCTTACTGTAATCATTTTGGAAACATAATCTAATAAAACTTAATGCAAAAATCAAGCCTACTCTTTGCTTCATTATGGACAGCGTCACGAAACTGGTTTGGAAACCTTTAAAACAATCTGTCATATTAAATCGACTACTAACGTCAATATGAGTAGCATATCAAGTTGAATTGCAATACTTCATTATACACTTTGCCATAAGATGATGCGAGCCTACGAGAGGCTTTGTTTGCTTTTAAAATCCTGCTTTTCATGTAGACCGGATGAGGAGTTACACTCGTGTCGCCTAAAGTCTAATATGTTGACTTTTCTTCATGAATTTGCGAAGTTCGGATCCTACTGGGTGTAGATGAGACGATGCAGGGATAGACAAATCTGCAGTCCAGTCCGAATATAAAAACTGCATGTTAGACTGGCACACATCTGCAGTAATTGGGCTCTTGATGGATACAAGAGATAACCGTTGCTAACGCCAAAGCCAAACTGTCCTCTCGACAGGTGCGGATGGAGCAAAGTCCACCTCTTCTGAATGTCAGCCACAGTTGACGATGTAAATGTGTGGTTCATTGGAATAGCAATTTGTGCTCGGACGTTTGGCAATTCGTTGAGTATCCCACATGCCGTATGAAATAAGCTCAACATCCTCTGTCTTTCCTCCAGATCCGCGTTGTTCTGCAGTTGCTCGGCTTTACTGCAACCTTTGCATTGATACAGCCGGCGAGACATTCTCTCTCGTTTGGGCTTTCGTCCGTCCCATGACGGAAATGCTCATTTCTGTGAAAGCGTTAAAAGTTGACACCAAGTCAAGAGGTCAATGTCTTCGCAAAGTGGCTCTTTCGTCGAAGCATTCGTTGTTTGTCATGGCGGTTAGGACGATAGATTCCTCAAAAATCAACTATTCTTGTTGCGGCTTTCCACTTGTTCAGAGTTCTGGCGGCAACGAATAATTCGATTATCGGGAGTAAGAAAGACCCTCGGCAATCGTGTCTTGAAGACGACAGGAGACTTCTCGATCAGGCCTTATTGTGTCTGGTGTGTTTTTATCATAAAGTATGTATTCTCGCTTTGACGACCTGCACACTAGAACTATCTGGCCTTGCCCTACAGGCTGTATATACCCACAACTAAAAACGATAATGTATGAATATCGATATACTTTGAATGACCTTATATGGTTTGTAGGATAAAGCGAGCTAGTCTGCGTGACGGACACAGCTTTTCCCGATATCACCCAAACGAGGCAGGATTTCCCTTCTGATTGTGACAATCTAAATGACGTAGGAAAGATAAACGTTACCTTCGGGAGAGATTTACGTACAAATCTCTTCATCAGGCACATTTTCACACCATATGAGCGTCTCTAAATGGATGTCATTTCGAGAGGTTCCTCTAAATCAATCTACTATACAAGAGACAATTATTTCCACA